CACCAGTAAGCAGACCTCTGGGAAGCCTACCATGCCTCCCACTCCACTGAGACCACAGGACCAAGCCACTGTCCGCCCCCAACAGCTAGAGCCAGTGGTAGGGGCTTGACCCCAAGCACACAATCCAGAGAGCAACCAGCTCCTCTGGCACGAAACTGACTCTCTCCTTGGAATCTGATCTCTGACCTGGGAAATACTTGAGAAGAAGGGAGTTAAAGAGGAACTGACAGGTCAGGTATGGAGGGAGGCTGGAGAGGCCACCCAGAAGAAAGGCCGGGGCTGGGGGGGGCGGGGAGGCGGTGACAGATTTTACCATGATGAAGGGAAGCTGGACAGCAAGTGCTGCAGAGAAGAGATACACTGCAGGAGAGAGAAGTGGAGGTGTTACCACAGACAAAGACAAGCAGACCGTCACACGGACCACAGGATCCACAATGGAGCCCATGAGATGGGGTGCCCTGGAGCTGCCTCAGGACTTTCTAGCCCTTGCCACAAATCGGCTTTTTCTCGAGATAATTTAATAATCTCTAGCCCTCAACAGCCCCAGGCTGAACCCCTGGTGGGGTCACTGTGAAGGTTGGGAATACAGTGTGCATGGTTCAGCACAAAGCCATACCTCTGATGGAAAAAACAAGCTTGAAAAGGAGCCAACATCTCTTCACGGTTGACCACATGCCAGGCACTCTATATTTCCCCATCTCATCATTCCTCACAACCCCATTCTGCCCTCCAGATGGATACAGTCTCATTTTATCAGAGGGAGCTAGCTCTGAAACTCAGGTACAATCGCTCTCAATGTAAATGGTGCAGCTGGGAAAGAAGCCCTGCCCATTCGGGCTCCCAACTCCTCCTGCGAACAGAACACAGCGGGAGACCACGTGACCTCAGGCAGGCAGGAGCAGAGACTCCACAGCAGACTCAGCTGGACCAGGCCGGTGGTCTGCCCATAGATGTCTGCTGCCGGTATGAAAATCTCCCAACACTTTGTGAAAATATCCAACTCCCAGGCTCCAGCCCCAAAGGTACAGATTTGAAGGTCTGGGTAAAGCCTGGGAATCTGCACTTTGCGGGTGAATAAAAGGTACTTCAAGACTTCAGAATCACTGGGCTGAGATGGAGGTTAGCTGTGTCTCCTCATGAAGAAAACGCACATCTAGCCAGTTACTCAAACTCGAAAGAGGGTAAATCTTAGATTCTGCAAATTCTAAAATCTGCCCCCCACAATTCCTGAATATGGCAAATAGAGAAAAAAAGAGTTTGAGATACGAGTTGGTATACAAGTTGGTAAAACAAAAGCTGTACAAAGAAAGGCAAATAGGGCTCTAAAGGAACTTATAACAAAAGTGGGGAAAATACTACTTAAAAAGATAACAATACAGTATATATCATGCACTATTTAAAGTCTAGAAAAATGGTGTGGGGCGGAGCAGTGTCCAGAACTTCTAGAACGTCCCCTCTTCCTTCCTGTTTGCTCACATGCTTCCAGATGGAAAGAGAAAGAAAGAGAAGTAGAAACGGGGATTCTCTCTGGCCTTTGCTTCGGGAACCCTATTTAAGGACGGGAAGACAATGGCTTTCACTGCAGTAGGAGAACTGCATGAAAGTCAAGTATGGGCTCTGCAATCACACAGATCTGGATTTCTGTCCCTGCTCCATCACGTACTTTCTGTGTGACCTTCGACCCTGTCTGAGCTCAGTTCTTCATCTGTTAACATAGAAATAATTAATACTCACCTTCAAGCCGGTTTCAAAGATTCAATAACATAAAAATTATAATATGTACCTGACCAGAGTGGGACATTTCAGCCTTCAAAGGGTGACAGGGAACCTAAGAGAAACCAATCCAATCATATACTAAGAATACTGACTGATCAACTTTTCCATTTCTCCTGTCCCACTCCCTTAGATCCCTTCTCTATCCTTCTCTGGCCTCATCTGTGCACCAGGTTAACTCCTTCCAAACTGCATCACCTGGACTCCCTTTACTAGCTTGTGGTTGGGTTTGGCCAATGAAAGGTCCACAAGCAGATGCCTGGAGCTGCCTCGGGACTTGCTCCCCGCCCCCCATCCCTATCACCCCTAGCTGGGTCACATTTCTGACAGTGCTTTCATCTGGCCAAGCCTACAATTTCTGTTGAGTAGCTCTTCCTCCACAGTTCTAGCTATCATTGGCATCTGGTAACACAACTGCCTCCCTTGGCCCCTTCAGCCTAAGGGTAACAGCTACTCCCTGTGGTTGCTAGTCTTTGGGCTCCTCAGTATCTCTTGTAGGTTCCCTGAAAGCCACCCACACCACTATAAATAGTCACATCATATAAGTCCCCTGAATTATCTGAATGGGATTCCATACTCTCTCAGGACCTGATATGATTCATCCTCCTCGCTCACAAACTGCTTTCTCAAGTGTACCCCATCCTCCCAGTGGCCATTTTTAAGCCTAATGATTCTGTCCATCCTTTCACCTGACCCAAGCTGAAGCAAAGAGATTTTTCTCCCTGGAAACATGACGTTGGAACTGAACTAGAAGGGATCGCTTCTTATATACAGAGGAACTGTAATCCCAGGAGCTGAGAGGTAGCCACATTCTTCCTACTACATGGCCTGAGAAACAGAAGACCAGTCTGAAGAGAGGTAAGAATAAACAGAGGCGTAAAAAGCAGCAGAGATGAGCAAGGGAGAGCCTGAAGACAACCCTGAATTCCTGGAATAACACTTGTAACCTTCTAAAGCATACTTTTTTTGCTTGAGCGAGTTTGTTGGTTACCATTCCTAGCAACTGAGTCCTCAACATACACTGTGAGGTTAATTTCAACTGCTTCTGGGATGCCTTGGTGGCTCAGTTAGTTAAGTGTCTGCCTTTGGCTCAGGTCATGATCCCAGGGGACTGGGATCGAGTCCCGCATCAGGCTCCTTGCTCGGTGGGGAGCCTGCTTCTCCCTCTGCCTGCCGCGCTCCCCCTGCTTGTGTGCGCGCTCCCTCTCTCTCTTGCTCTCTCCCTCTGACAAATAAATAAAATCTTTAAAAAATAATAATTTCAACTATTTCTAACTACCACCAAACCAAGATGAAATATCCCTGAAATAGTAAAGGAATCAAAGGCTGAAAGAAAAGGGATGACAGAAGCTAAAACTGACCATACTGGACCAAAGGTGAAAAGTAAAACAAACAAACAAACAAAAAAACCACAAGTAGGTCTACAGATACAGGCAAGAACAAGATTCTGGTTAGGTACTGTATAAGGTGCACTGCCCGCACTCAAAGACCAACAAAACAAAAGTTGAGGTGATTTTAGAACTGAGTCAGTGGCGATCCCATGGGAAGCTTAATCACCTGCCTTCTGACCTTTATTCAGATGGTGTCAATTCTGTTTCCCTCCTCCATAAATAGAGCAAATTTGTAGCCAACACTAATAGTCCTTCTGAAGAGATTTATTTAAAGTCAGTTACTCTGCATGGCTCCATGATACACAGAGCAAAGCATTTACCAACAACTGTGGCCCTAATATTAGGTTCATGGTACTGGTAAGACCGAGGTTTAACTTTAAAAATGCAAAGTGTCCAACTGATCTCCCTTTTAAGACCTACCTTACTCAATGTCATTGAGTACCTACTCAGCGCTGGACACTGGCTAGGTTTTAAAGGTACCAAATAACAGATTATTACCTCCCAAGATCCACGAGAAAGGAGAGTCTGAGCATCTAAACCCCCTAAGATCAGGCTTCTAGCCACCTCCACAACCTGATCTCCCACCACTACCCCCAGCCCACCCTTGTGGCTCCACACTTCCTCCAAGAGCCTGCGGATTCGCCATGTCTTCCTCCTGGAAGGCTCAAGCCTACTTAATTCTTAAGCATGCTGAGAGCTCATTTCAAATACTGTTTCCTTAGGGAAGCCTACTCGGACTTCCTGGACTAGACCAGGTCCCTGATTTTTTTTCCTTCACAGCTATCAGTACAATTTTACATACAAACACACAAATAGATCTGTAATTTGTCTCTTCCTTTTAGCATGGGAGCTATATAAGGGCAGCCTCCTTCCCATCCCTTGAGTTTAGCTTAGTTCTAGGTTGAATGAATGAATAGGGAGTCCTGAAAATATACACAGGAAGGACACGACATGGATTTAAGGAAGCAATTCCGCCTCCTTAGGGAAGCCTTCAGAGCATCACAGCCCCCAATATTGTATAGCTCCTTTGACCTCCACTAACTATACCACTCCCTTAGCATATATGTTATATTCTGTTGCCTTTACTTTATTCATCTTTGAAATAATAAAGGAAACAATGTCTGACGGAAAGGGGACGCCAGAAGCTGAATTTGACCATACTGGACTGAATGTGAAAAGTAAAACGCAAAATGATTAGATCTCTACAGCCAAGTTCAGGATTCTCATTAGGCTTTACCGAGACGTCTGGGGATGTCTCTAACCTGGGTAGGTTACAAACAAGAAGGCCACACTTGGCTTTCCTTGGTAGCTCATTACACCCAACATTCTCCAACTCTCGCTCTGGAGTGGTCTTGACTCCAGGGACTGAAAACTGACCACAGAAGATCTAAACACAGTTACAGCTGCCTCTGAGGATCTTAGAACTAAGTGCCACTGGCCGTAGAGCCGCTTTTTAAACATTCTTCCCCATTTGTAAGGAAATTTATATTTTCAAAACGCTTTCACCTCACTGCCTTCTCTCCCTGTGCTTCCCAACCACGAGGTAAGGAAGAGCGGGCCAGAAGCCTACCGCCAACCCCCGTTTCCTAGCTGAGAAAAGCGAGGCTCAGCCCAGTGATGCGACTCCCGAAGGCTGAAGAGACGGCCCTGGGGGCGGTGCTCCTTCGCTAAGAAGAGGCCTCAGGGACTGCCTTCCCACCCAGGTTTGGAACCTTGTAGACGCGGAAGGCTTCAAGCACGCACACAGTCCTAAGTGGACCCTCGTCGTGAGGTCCTAAATACACACGCGTTGCCGGCTTCGTGCGGCAAACGCCGGCCGCAGTGCTGTCTAATCACCAGGTAAACCCAGCACGCCGCCTGGCCGCCTCCTCCCGAGCGAAGCGAGGGCGCGCCGCCACCCGCAGCGCCAGGGGAAACCCGGTGGCTGACGCCGCGGCGTAGCTACCTGAACGCCGTGCACGATATACACCTTCTCCGCCTCACTCAGCGCCACCGACGCCATGCTGCCGAGCCGCCCCGCTCGTCGTACGTCATCTGCTCGCGTCGCCCCCGCGCCGACCGCGCCCCCCCGCCCACGCGCCCGTGCGTCATCAGCCTGCGCGGCGGCCGCTCCTGCAGCCACCGCCGCTGCCGCCACCGCCGGCAGCTCGATGGGCTTCTCCTGCGCGCCGCCCCGTGTCTGGACGAGTCCGGGAAGCCGCGGCGCCTCGTGCCGGCGAGCCATCGCTGCAGCCCGAGGTCGGGTCCCGGGTCGGGGGCTGCAGGGGGAGGCGACGGCGGCGGCGGCGGCGGCGGGAGCCCCACCGGGGGCCTGGGACTGGGGAACTGCCTCCGGCTTCACGGTCAGTTGGGAGGGGGAACTGGGGTTGAGTGAAAAGGCTGGGGTGAGGCCAGAGGCGCGGGCCGGGGCCGGAGCTTAGGACTTGCAGTGGGAGAGGCGCGCGTCGCAGTTTGCTCAGAGCTGGAGTTGAAGTAGCAGAGAGAGAGAGAGAGAAAGAGAGAGAGAGAGAGTGTGTGTGTGTGTGTGTGTGTGTGTAAGAGAGAGAGGGACCTGAGAAAGAGAGAGAGATCTGAAAGAGAGACCGACCCCGAGCTAGGGGAGGCGGACGTCATGATTGGCCTGAGGGGCTGTCTCCTTGCTCTCCTCCCCTCTTCTCCCCACCCCCCGCCCTCCGTCCCGCATTTCCCTAGTCCCTAGGGTGGTTGAAAAGAAGAGGCGGTGAAGCCCTCTTTAGTTCGTTCTCGGTGGGAAAGGTCCGGGCCGGGAGTGAGTGCCCACTAAGCCCGAGGCGTCCTCACTCCACCCCAAGGATTCCACCTGTGCCCCCTCTCTCTGGGGCTGACCAGACGCTGACCCAGAACCTTGCAGGATCCCCCTTGCCCTAGGTGGTCGCTGGAGCTTTGTCCCAAAGAGAGGAGGGGGCAGAGTCTTGGTAACTGGCGCTGGCGAGGGGCACAGTGCCCAGGGTCCCCAGCCCTTCCCAGCGATGGCTGGAAGCCTCGGCTTGATGGTGTGGTCTCTGGGAGCTATAGACAGCTGGGGGGGCGGGGAGCCAGCCCTGGCGGTGGCCAAGTGGGAGTAGGGCCTTGGATATCCAGAATGGATACCTGCAAGGTGAATATAGGGTCACTGAAGGAGCCCATTAAGGTGAGGCAAGATAGGGTATGGTACAGATTTTAAAGAGGTCATGTGGGTAAATGGGGGAAAGTTAACCCAAAGTGATTGAAGCAAGGGGATCTGATGACTTTTCCAAATGTCCCTCTTTTAAGGAGCCTCCCCATACTCCGGTTTCTCTTCAAAACGCATAAATCTTTCGCCTTTTAAGGAGCCTCCCTGTTCTCAAAAGTGAAAATACAGTAACCCTTGACAGCTTGATCATCTAAAGAATGTATTTCTCAGCCAATAGCTTCGACACTGTCTCATAGGTAACTATTGAGAGCTTACCATGGATGGGCTTTGTGCCAACTTTGGAACACTAAAACAAATAAAACACAACTTCTGCCCAGAGAAACTTCACAGGCAGAGGGAAAGGCTCTAGGGTCAACATAACCGCAGAACATGGTTAAGAACTATGATGATGGCACCATGAACATAGTGGGATTAGGGAGGTGGGCCAGAGGAGGGTACAGGGAAGAAGTACCTGCCCATATTCTTAAGCTGTAAGCTGCTGAGTTCCAAAATAAGTGATCACTTCCTAGTAGACTGGACATCAGTTGTTTCTTGTCTCCATAGTTCTCTTACAGGTGTACGTACAGGGAAGACATCCTAGAGGGTTGGACTTTGCCCTCTAGGGAAACTGGGAGAGGTGAAGCCGGAAGGCTTTTCTCCCGAATGAAAGCACAGGTGCCCCACCCATTGTGGTACATAGGACTCTGTGTGGTTGGACACCTGGTTTCTATGTGAGGAGCTTTGTGATGAGATAACAAGGGACTGCTGATGTTAGAAATGATATTTTGTTCTAGAGATTACCCAGAAAGTAGAGACCATGAACATGGAATTTTAGTAGCTAGGATATCTAAGAGGATTGAGGATTTAAAAAGTGGCAGCAAATGGACAGATCAGAAAAGACAGAAGAATTTGGGTTGGATACCATGGAGTCATCTTTATATAAAGATCTTTCAATATGTCTTCGAAAATATAGAACATCTATTTGAACCATTCCCTTGGCAATTGACTAAAGGTTCCTTGCTGGAGAAGAGTTGGCAGTATTTGCGAAATAATATTATGAATGATGTCTGACCTGTTAGGCTAAGTAGGTCTGAGAGGTGTAAACAGTAAAATGTTTATTTTAAATTCTCTACTAAAACAATGACACCTTCACTAACTGTTATATTTCAGTGCTGCCGGAACATTTTTTATCATGTTTGTTGTGATAATTTTTAAAACTCATAAATTCAGAGTTCTTTTTTGGTTATTAAAGCAAGTCAAAGAATGCGTGTTAGCCAGAAAAATCAAGAAGCCAAGAATAACACCTTAGTCTATAAAACCAGCATGTTTTTCCATCACTGTCAGATTCTTGGGAGGGGGGGAGGGCATATTGTTTTGTAGGTCTGTCCATTCTGAATCTCTGTACTCTGTTAATTTTATTTAACATTAACTTGCATTAACATTAACATAACATAGTGCTCATTAGGTGCCAAGCACTGTTCTAAAGCACTTTACAATGATTAACTGATTTGGTCCTCACAAGAGCCCTATGAAGCAAGTACTATTATCCCTATTTTACAGACTGGGAAACTGAGGTGCAGAGAGGTTGATTGTCTTGATCAGGGTCACAGGTCACATGACTAAAAGTGCCAGAGCTGGGATTTGAGACCAGGCAATCCAACCCCCATACTTGCCCTCCTAACCATCCCTTATGCAGTCTCCCCACCAGACTATACTTCATTTGCCAAAGTATTTGGTGAAGGAGGCCTATGTTTGTTATGGAATTGTTAACTGCCCTGTAGACTATAGTTAGTTTTTATTCCAAAAGGAGGGAGTCTATTCAAGCATAAATTCACATCCCTTGAATCCTTATCCTAAAGGAACGTTGAACGTGGTGCTGAGGGGATGCTCCTATGTCTGTTTCAGCCAACCCTTTTAGATAAGGGGAAAGGTTACATACAGGCCAAGTGGAGCTTAACTCAGAGGAGCTGAGAAGAGCCCTCAACAACAGAGAAGGCTGATGGATCTGGGACTGATGATGGGGCGAGGCATGGAGACCCAGATGCCAACCATGTGCCTTACTCCCAGAATAGACATCTAGAAGCTCTTCAAACAGGAAGTATTTGTTTGCATGCCTGTGAATGTCTAGTGTTCTTGTGGACTCAGAGATGGGAAACTGAAAATATACCTGCCTAAAAGGAGTTGAGGATTTACTCTAGTTGGAGAGCCCAGGCACTCGAACTAGCGCATAAACAAGACAATGAAATAAAGTGCCCAATTGAGCCAGTGTGGTAATTAGACGTGAGGCCAACCTATAATAAGGTGCTAATTGTGCAGGCCAGGCATCAAGGGCGAGAGGTAAAGAGCTGCTGCTAGCCAGGCAACAATGACATTACAGAGATGAAGTAAATCTGTCCCACCTAACCTTGGTTAATTAAAGCAATAAAACCAGTTACAGAAGAGCTTGGGGCAATGCTGAGTCCGTGGTGCTGAAGTTGCAGAGAGCTCTTAAAAGCCCAGCAGGGGAACATCTTCCCAGCCTCAAAGAGAGGTAGCCAAGTGCGAGGCCTTTACCTCTGCATTTTTACAATTAGCCCAGCACTGCAGAAAAGCAAAAGCGAGTGACTATTTTCCCTATAGATCTGTTTCCTTTAAACACTTTCATTTGTCCTGCCTGTGCCTTGTCTGAAGAAACACTCAGTATAAATAACCCGTCAGTCAGGCCAACAGGTCTGTGGCTGTCTTGCTTTTCCAGAAATTACAACTCGTAATTAGGTGGTAGAAAAATTGATAGGACTACGTCGGGTAAAGCTTATTCTCATTTAGAGGAACGGACTTCATGTGTGTTCATTTTGAGAGGGTAGCAGGGTGCTTCTTAGATCTTTAATTAGGGCATGTGTGAACAAACGGGGCGGGGGGGGGGGGTGTCACATCTGATTAGCAAATCTGGAGATACTTAAACACACATACACATGCTAATAGCCCCAGAATCCGAATAGAAATGGAGGAGTGAGGTCTGGATATTGACCTTCTGGGCAGGGGAGGGGAGCAAATGCCATGCTGCCTCTAGTTTCTTCCTGTTTTTGCATGTTTTTAATCACTTACTTTCCTCTTTGGAAGCAGATTTCCAGAGACAAATGGCCAGGTTATTCCTGGCTCTCAACTGTGAAGGTAAGAAGGCTCCAGTTCCCTGTCCCACCTAATTCAGTTATCCGTCCAAGAAATGCCAGGAAATACCAGGAAAACTCCATCTTTTCATAGTCTCCTCCAAACTATAAACCTTTCTGGTATGTAGAAGCTTGGCAATTGAACTCTGGATTTTTCTGGGCTACCTGAGACATGAATTTCTCCTGGTCAGGGTCTGTGGGGACGGAATCCCTTTGGGTGGGATAGATATCTCACCTTAGAAAAATAAGCCTAGTGGGACAGATGCAAATCTGGCCACAGTTCTGTTGCAGTAACTTTTGACTTGGCTATGGCCAAAGCATACGTTTCTAAACCGAGAAATACCAGCAGAAAATCTAGAAAGACAAGATGATTAGGAAGAAAATGATCTATCGGTGCAAAGACTACTGGTTGTCTATTCTGGTGATCTGGGCTTCGCCAGAGATCCTTTTTTTGTGATTTTTGAGCAGGTCTGTTAACCGTTCTAAACCTCATTTTACCCTAAAATGTGTATCTTTCCCAGATGGTAAAGCTCAGAACCGATCATGGATATACATATATTTAAACGATGTAAAATGGTCCTACTTCACTTTAAAGATTTCTCTCTCACCACTTTGTAGTATTTGATGCATTTTGGTAGTGCTTTTTCCACTCTGAAAAAAAATTAAGTGAATTAACAAAAGGAAATGGTAATTGGTTGAAAAACTGAGCATGCTCAGGAAAATGGCTAACAGTTATTGGTGGATTTATTTCTGTATAGGAACAAAGAACGGGGACAGGAAGTTAAGGGATGCTTTTGGTAAACATATAAAATCCAAGAAATTAACAAAGAAAATACTGCATTTGTTCATGAGAACAGAGGAGTCAGAATCTTAACCCTGCAAGGGATCTTAGCATGCAGCTCAGTCTTC